AGAGCGCAATGATGGTGCCAGGTTGGGTGAAGCAACATCCTCCACAACTAGATGGAAGAACAACACAACAGCAACTTGTCTGTTCCCCTTCCCCCGATTCCCCAGTGCTGTTCCCCTCCCCCAATTCCCCAATAAAATCTTTAAAAAAAAATGATAATTGACTACTTAAACAAATATCATTAAAATGTATTGTGAGGTTTATAATGTATGTAGAAGTAAAATGCTTGACAATGATAGCATAAAGGCTAGAGGAGAGAAATGGAAGTATTTTATTCCAAGGTTCTTATACTATCCCTGATGTGTTATAATATTACTTGAAGGTAGACTGTGTTAAGTTAAAGATGCATACTGTAAATCCTAAAACCATCAGTAAAATAATGATTTATAGTTAAATGAGGTGATATCCATAAAACAGATATTACAAGAGATTAATATACTTGATTAATCTAAAATTAGCCAGAAAAGGGGTCTAAAAGGAAACATAACAGATGAGAGAAATAGGAAACAAATAGCAAGGTGATAGATTCATATTAATTATTACATTAAATGTAAATGTTTGATGAAAGGCAGAGATTGTCAGATTGGATTTTTTAAATTACTGCCTATAAGAAAAAAAACACATAAATTTAAAAACACTATTAAGTTTAAAGTACAAGGATAGAAAAAGATATATCATGCTAACACCAGTTGGAATGGCTTTATCAATGTTAGATGAAGCAAATTTTAGAGTAAAAAATATTGCCAAGAATAAAAAAGATCACTTTATGATAGTAAATGGGACATTAAATCAAAAGTATATAGCAAGCCTAAACACTTATGCACCTAATAAGAGAGCTTCAAAATAAATGAAGCAAAAACTGATAGAACTGCAATGTGATACAAAACCTCTACAGTTATAGTAAAAATTTCAATGCCCCTCCCTGAATAATTTATAACACAAATAAGCAGAAAATCAGCAAGGTTATAATAGACCTGAATGACACTATCAATCATCTTGACCTGATTGATATTTATAGAATACTATTCACAACCATCAGAATACACATGCTTCTCAAGTATATACAGGACTTTTAGCAAGATGGACAATAATCTGGACCATAAAACAAGTTTCTGCAAATTCAAAAGGATTCAAATCATACTAGATATGTTTTCTGACCACAATGTAATTAAATTAAAAATCAATAATATAATGATTCCTGGCAAGTACCACAACATTTGGGGGAGAAATAATACACTTTCACATAAGCCATTAATCAAAACAGAAAATAGAATATATTTTGAACTGAATGAAAATGAAAATACAGCATATCAAAATTTGTGGAATGTAACTGACAGTAGTACCTTAGAGAAACTCATAGCACTAAAAACTTATATTAGAAAAAAAGGTCTCGGCTGGCCGAGTGGCTCGGTTGGTTAAGAGCTCACTCAAGAGTGCGAGCTCTGAGCAACAGGGTCGCTGGTTTGATTCACAGCCCGAGCTGAGCTGCTGCTGAGCTGNGTCACCTCTTCCCTCAAATTCCCCCAAAAATGTTTAAGTTGAGAGCCAAAGTATGAATAAAAGTCAGAACTCAGGGACAGAGTGCTGGGGAGGGGAGGCATTTACAAATGGTGTGACGAATTCAGTTTGACTAACAAAGATTTGAGATGATGAAAGGCTAGAAAGAGGATAAAAAAAAACACAGAGGCCTGATCACGGCCTTGTGAGCCACAGCAACTTGAACACTATCCTAAAGACCTACAGGAAGCCACTGAAGGATTTTAAGCAAGGCGAGTTATGATGGGATTTAGCAAATCCACACTGGCTAGTGGACAACTGGTCTAAGGGAAACAAGATTTCTTTCCAAACACTGTCCCTTCAATCAATCCTACCTAAACAAACGGCTAGAGCATAACTCAAAAGATTTTAATGGCTTCCTCCTGCAAAGAGGAATCCAACTCAGCTCAGCACTCTAATCGTCTCTCCCCCAACCCCCTTTTCCCCCGTGTGGCCAGGATGACCCTTCTTTCCAGTCTTTTCCCTTCTCACATTTCCCACGCATCAGGAAAAGCTCTCGCCTTCACATAATTCCAAACATTCTTTAGGGTGTGCTTGGACACCCTTTCAGACTTTCATCTCCACGGGGTTAACTCCCACTTACTCCATTCAAGTGGCCCCTCCTGATAAACCCTATCCTGACCATCCAATCGACTTCAGTGAACCCTCCCTGTCCCTGAGTAGGCTGTTAGTCTTTCTCCAGCTAGACTATAAACTCCTTAAAAGCTACAATAGGGTCCCCGAATTTCTAGCTCTGTGCATAAGTGCCCGAAAGCCGTGAGCAACGCGCACAACTCGGGGTGCTCCTAGAGGGCATGCGCTAGACACAAACACAAACACAAACACACCCAAACACGCACATACATTCAAAATAGAGTCGCGGGTGCGCTTTCTGTAGTAAGAATCCTCTACCCAGGTGCTTGGATCCCCAGGGGACAGAAAGACGCCGCCACGGTTCTCCCCGCACGGTAGCCCGGTCCCTAAGGCTTGTTGGGCCTGAAGGCTGCAGGACTCTGCGCCGTCATTACAACCTGCCTGGCCAGCTCCTTGACTGTTGCCTCCACCACGACTAAAACTTCGGGATCCGGAACCGCCACAGGTTAAGGCAGACCGCCGCTTCCGGGATGTTGCCTAGGTTACTGGAGCCCCGCCCCCACGCCTTTGCGTATATCCGGGGAGGCCAGTGCGCAGGCGCCTCCCAGAGGCTGGCGTAGGGTACGGGATTCAAAGGCTCTTGTGCGGCCCAGCATGGTCCCACGTCCCCTCTAACAGGGTCCCAGGCAAAGCTTTAGAGGGTAGGCATGTAGCATTAGCCAGTTTCTCGTGAATTCTCTAAAAGGAAGATGTTAACGCTCCACACCAAGCGTCACACTTCACACTCTCTTGCTTTCACCTCTATTTATTTATTTAAAAATGTTTATTACCACCTATCAATGTGCCAGAGACTATGCTAGGTTCAATGGGGTCTAAAAACAGGGAAGGTCCCTGTCCACAGGAAGCTTACTGCATAGTAGCAAACAGCTATCAATGACACTAATGTAAAATTAAAACTGTGACAAGTGCTAAGAAATAGGCATACTGGGCCGGGGGAGTGGCACATGGGTTAAGAGCTAGCTTGGGACGCCAGAGGGCCCCGGTTCGGATCCCACATATGAGGGCCAGTGACACTACCCTCTATAGCTACGATGTTGAACAACAGCTCAACCTGGAGCTGGGCTGCCATGAATTGCTGGAGACAGTGTAGGCTGCAGCCCCTGCTGCAGTGGGCTGCCATCAGCTAGCTACTGTGTGTAGCCAGCAGCCAGCAGCCAGCGTGAGCAGCCAGCAGCCGCCGTGAGCTGCTGTCCAGAAGCCGGCGACTGATCTGCCTCTCCCGGGAAGAGCGCAATGATGGTGCCAACTTGGGGCAGTGAAGCAACGTCCTCCACAACTAGACTGAAGAACAAAAGGACAGCAACTTGTCTGTTCCCC